CTGCAGTAGGTGGAGATCGCCAAATGGCTCAGTTGTTCCAGGGGCAGTAAACTGTCCTGGCAAGCCAGCTGTGTCTGCACAAAAACCTCTGGCAAAGGTGGTGTGTAAGGCAGACTCATTCCATCCACTGCCAGCAGAAACGGTGTGCAACAACCCAAACTTTCCTTTAACAAGAAAACACTCTACATATGACCCACCCTCCATAGCCCAGCTCTTGGGTTATGAAAATATTATCAAGGCCTTATGTTTCCTGAAGTACCCCCTGCTCTGAACATTTTGGTGTTTTTTTTTCCTCCAACACCCCCACTTTAGCTCAGGACAGGCTCGTTATTGAGCTGATTAGTTGGATCGGGTGTGTTAGAGCAGGGAAAACACTAAAGTATGCGAGGCAGGAGGAAGTTCAGGACCAGTGCTGGGAAACACTGATCTAGGCTGTGGCAAATTGCACAAAGGTTTGGAAGGTTTGGTCATCATTTACACATGGTGACGGACATACCAACGTTGTTACTGTTTTGAAATAATTAACTCAAGGAATTCTCTTGGCAACCTTTACATCTATTACTTCTATTCCACAAAAACATCAAATATGTTTTCTGAATTTCATGCAGTCCTGTTTAAAAAAAAAGACCTTGGTTTTAGATATTTACCAGGAAAACACATGAAAACACAAGAAAATATAATGGATTAGTAATTAGTATTCATTAATAATCTCATTAGCATTTGTAGTTAATCACAGTTAATCAGATTCATTTGTGCACTTAATCACAATTAATCATGTTTGTATTTGTGGCTCTAATTTGACCTTTTCCATTTCTTTTCCATCTAAAAAGCAGTGCAGTTTGTTACAGCTATATAAGTGGACAGAATCAGCTTCATCAGAATGTATTTATTTCCTTCAGAATTTCAACTTTAACCTGAACATAAAATCACATGAACACAGATTCCAGTTTTCAGCAGTGGCTGCATGTTCCAACTCCACGACTGTCGCTCTCATACCGCTAACTTACCTCTTGTTTTGAGGGGAACTGGAGCTTTCCACCTTCCACTAGTGCTGATGTTACTAATATTCCTTCTGGGTGTTTACATGTAAAGTAGATGATGGTGAAATAGTGGTAAATCTAAAAAATAAGTTATCTTTTGGGACTATTTTGGCTGAGAACACCTGCATGTACCTCTCTGCCATGAAAAGATTTCGAAAAATATGTTTTAGGTCAAAACTTTATTAAAAGCAGTGTCTCTGGTATTAAGCAACTTATTCAAACCCATTTTGTGTAATGACATTCCGGTTCCTATCACCACCACTGTTCCGAATAGACTCTGAAAGATTCCGACTCAGTAAGATTCTGTAGAACGCATTTCAGACCAAATCAAACTGAATGACTTAGTTTACATCTTAATAATATTAAGCAGAAATATTGAATTGACAGAATTCTTCTTTAAGTGTAAAAGTATGTTTAGTGTTGTGTGTATTTTTGTTTGTATGTTTAGTGTTAGCCATAACTTGTTTTACATATTTTGTTCAGCACAGATCATTAAACTCATGATAAATCTAAATCTTTCAACTTCACTTTAAAAGAAATAAAAAAGATCTGTTTAAAATGAGTTTTTAAAAATGTATGCATTATTTTCAGAACCCTATAAATTGATTTGATTTTGATGATTTTGTATATATTGAGCTTATTACCGTCTCAGTTAATGTCTTGGCTTTAAATAGATCATAATATCCTTATCTGTTTAAATAATTAATTGCTTTTCATTTTTTTATAGAGGGACAGCAGTTTGAACTAATTCAGCAGAATGGTTCATATACATATACTATAATAAAGCAATAAGTCACTTGAGGCTGTGATTTTATCACAGGGAAGGGTTTCTTAGGCATGATGCAAATTGCTTTTATAAAATGGTGGCCAGCATAAAATATGATAAAATGCACAATTTTTCAAAAATTAATTAAAGTTATTATTAATTATAATCAACACAAACAAGTATTTTGCCATGAAATGTAGATACTTTAGAGTATGGTATTGTTGCTAGGCAGCCATGGACTGCTGAATGAGAAGAAGAACATTCAGTCACCCATCACTGTATATTGCAGTCATTTCATGAACTTTTTGTCATATAACAATGAACATATGTTTACTTCATTCCACAATTTCAGACACATTTCAGACACGTTTCATGAAACAAGCCTCCATGGCTGAGCAGCAGCAAACAAATCTAAGATCACTATGTGCAAGGCCAAGCGTTGGCTGGAGTGGTGTAAAGCACGCCACCACTGGACTCTGGAGCAGTAGAAACGTGTTCTCTGGAGTGACGAATCACGCTTCACTTCATGTGGGAGTCTGATAGACGAACCTGGGTTTGGCAGATGCCAGGAGAACATTACCTGCCGGAATGCACAGTGCCAACAGTAAAGTTTGGTGGGGGAGGGATAATGGGCTGGGGCTGTTTTTCAGGGTTTATGCCTTAGTTCCCATGAAGGTGGACACAAAATATTAACTTTTGAAAGGTACACACAGTGCTTCATACATCTATTTGCAGACGGGGCTTTGATGTTAGTTCAGCACACAGTGTTGCCCACAGAAAGTGTTTAGTTCGCTCAGCTGAGAATGTGTCAAATTCATAAATTCAAAATTATAAAATCATAAATTTGTGCTTGTGTCATCGCAGCACAGTGCAGTACTGTATCTGAAACATGCCATCTGTAACACTGCTGACCACAGGAGACATACTGCAGGATATCATGTCACAACTGGAGAGATACTGCCCAGCTTTCCCAGTGAAAAACAAGTTTGTGGTTGGATGCCTCTGGCGACGGCAGTCAACAATGACGATGAAAAAGAATTAGACCTTTGTTGGGGGTCTCTCTTTCTGAAATGTGCTGGTGTGTCATACTACAAATCAGTGTTCCAGCTTGTCCTCCCTTCCTTTCTGTTTTCCTCCCATCACTCCTCTGCGCCAGAGATTTACAGTAGGAGTCTGGCCAGCTGATTCTGTCGCAAATAGTGTGGAGTGGATGTCTGACTCAGAAAAGAGACATTTGGAAGGGCGGGTTACGGTGGGGAGCACCAGCACAGCTGAATGGCTTGAAGCGAAGCTGCCTGCATTCCCGAGCCACTTTGCAGAGTAATTACTGCATTCTTCCTTAAATCCCCATCCTGTGTCGTACAGGCGCACACAAAGTCCAGGCTAAACCACAGTCCACAGTGCTGAACCAGAATATTTCGACACGTTGTAGAATCTCTGCTTCATACACATTCAAAAAAGATGATTCTACAAAGGGTCCTTAGTAGAGACAATGGATTTATACAGAACCATCAATCTGAAGAATGATTTCATGAGTTAAAGAACTATTTAAGCATGCAAATAGTTCTTTAAGTGTTTATGGTTCTATATAGAACCACTTCAACAAGGAACCCTCCACCACAATCGGTAGTATTTTGTGTACCACGAAAGCATAAACAGCAGATCTCAGTTTTCACCACATTATTTTCAGCTGAATTTTTGAGCTACAGTAGGTACAATGTGCAATATTACTGTACAGTTCTGTGCAAAACTCAGAAACCTACCTTAATTCATTTCATTTCCAAAGATATTTCTGAGGAGTTTCTCAAACTGAAGCTCAAAAAAATGATTAAAAGATACCTTTTCCTAACCACCACCTGGAAGACCTGGTAGACACCAAAACTGTCCCCATCAGATAAACAGAAACTTAAAGCTTTCATCTTTGAGAGAGAGGAGAAAATCAAGCTGCTTCAGATCTGAAAACATCCACAGGCGTTTCTGTCCATCCTTCCACTGTGAGAAGACAACTCAGCGCTATGGGTCTGAAAGGATGTGTAGCTGTCAAGAAGAACCTCACTGAGAAAAGGAGACAGACACATCAAACAAATAAGCTGAACAATGGACTGACCACCCCAGAGTCCAGACCTCAACAGCACTGAATGTGTTTGGATTACTTCAGAAAATGATTGACCGACTTCTAAGACTGAACTTTGGAGGTGTGTCTGCAGATTTCTTTGAGAAACTGAAAGTGAGTCTCCTGAAGAGAATGGAACATCTTTTAACATCTGAAACATCTGATATTAGAGTTAGTTGTTGAGGCTTCTGTGTTATTTTCTGTAAAATATGTTTTCTGACTGCTTTTATGTTTTGCAATAATACTGAAGAAATTACAACCATGAAATAGTTCATTTGGAATGACTCCAGTCAGTATTTGGCCTTCTACCAATTAGGATTCTTTAGACCCCGCCCTCCTTCATCACAATACAGCTGACTGAAATGCATTAATGAGGGCAGACATTCTGTTAGTTACCTTGTAATGAGAATTCCTTTCTCTTTTGTTTTATTGTAAGGAATCAGAATATTGTACTTGGAACTGAGATCATTTTGGACATCTAAATATAGCCTAAAGGGTCATTTTGTCAAACAGTAAAGCATAAATGAAATGTAATGAAGGAAAAATTTACATAGATTTGATGGAAGCATGATGCATATAGATGTTTCCACTAACTGGCCTCTTTATTTTAAAAACCTACCTTGTGCATCCACTAACTGGCCACTTTATTAGAAACACATGCCTTGAGCTTCCACTAACTGGCCACTTTATTAGAAACACCTGCCTTGTGCATCCACTGAGTGGCCACTTTATTAGAAACACCTACCTTGTGCATCCACTAACTGGCCACTTTATTAGAAACACCTGCCTTGCACTTCCACTGACTGGCCACTTTATTAGAAACACCTGGCTTGTGCATCCACTAACTGGTCACTTTATTAGAAACACCCACCTTGTGCTTCCCCTAACTGGCCACTTTATTAGAAACACCCACCTTGTGCTTCCCCTAACTGGCCACTTTATTAGAAACACCCGCCTTGTGCATCCACTGAGTGGCCACTTTATTAGAAACACCTAACTTGTGTGTCTACCAACTGGACACTTTATTAGAAACACCTGCCTTGTGCGTCTACTAACTGGCCACATTATTAAAAGCACCCACCTTTTGCTTCCACAAACTGGCCGAAGGCTTCTGATAAAGTGGCCAGCTCTGTGATGGGGATGCTGCTTGTTTTCCAGGGTCTGATGAGCTCAGCTAATGGACATTCCCTTTGCTTGGGAGGCTTGTCAGTCTTTTAATTAAAAAACAAACAGAGATAGGAAGTCAGGGAGTCTCCCAGAGTGGGTGATGCCTTTGATTTCTATGAATTATTATCCAGAGTGAGTTTCTCAAAAGCATCCCAGCACAAAGATGGTACTGTAAGTTTTATTTTGAACATTCTCTCCAAAGGTTAAGAATTTCCTGTGAGTGAGTAACAGCGCGGTGATGCATTACTGAAACCTGGCCCTGGTTACCAGCCCTCAAGACTTCTTTCATTTCAAAGAGTTTTGGTTTTGGTTGTTAAATTTGCTTCTGCTCTTTATACAGCACTGTACATGGCATATACTGGCTGCATCATGACTGAAAAGTGCAATCAGAGCTCTGTAGAATTTGACTAATAGCAATTTTTATTTAGTTCCCATCTATTTCCTTACAGAGGACGCAGTCACCAACAGTTGGATATTAGTCGACTGACCTCTTTCTGCAGCCCCCTAGTGGGTAGAGTGGAAATTGACTCAGATATTTTGATTTAATATAATCAAACACCAGATTTGTTCCCCATAACTCTGTTATCAGATGAACAAGGACTCTGTTGTCTCTGTGCGTGTGAAATGTTGTTGCGCTGCTAGTGAGCAATGAGGGCTGAAAGGGGAGAGGTGAAAACCCCCTGTTGTTAAAAACAGTTCACACCTCTCCACAAAAACAGCTGTGCTGAGATAAAACAGACATTTGGAGCTTTCTTCATATCAAACAATTCTGTACAACTGACACAATAAACAACATTAAAACACAATAAAAACAACTTTTATAGATGTTGAAGTGCCTGCTCACCTATGTAGACAAAAATCCAGCTTGTTTCTGGTTTTGTAAATCATACACCTTTTCATCGAAACTTTGGAACCTGCATTTAATGGCTGCTGTAAAATTGGCCAAATTACAAGTGTGGCAAGATTAGTTTTCCTAGGGGAGGTGGGGTAATGTCATTTCTACCTACCATACAACAAAACATAGAAACAACCCCAGGTTATGTTCATCCCATGCAAATAGACATGCTAACATATCCTGAGGTTAAGGAGCTTCCATGCTATTTCTTCAAGCTGCACTACGTAAGATTTTGTGGGTAAAACTGAAAGAAGTGTCATTACTGAGTGAGGAGAATAAAAACAGGCTAAAATATGGTGAGGGTCGACCTGTAAAGCCTGAACTTGTCCTTTAAAGGTCAGAAGCATTGGGTTGGGAGTTTTCACACCACATGACATTAATGTCCAATGCACAGGCTCAAGAAGTTGGACTTTGGGGTGATCTGTCCATTGTTCAGCTTCTTTGTTTGTGTCTGTCTCCTTTTCTCAGTGAGGCTTCTTGACAGCTACACATCCTTTCAGACCCATAGCACTGAGTTGTTTTCTGACAGTGGAAGGATGGACAGAAACACCTGTGGATGTTTTCAGATCTGAAGCAGCTTGATTTTCTCCTCTCCCTCAAAGATGAAAGCTTTAAAGTGTTTATCTGATGGGAGAGATTTGGTGTTTACCACGTCTTCCAGGTGGCTGTTTTTCTCAGTTTGTCTCATTTTCTCAGTAGCTTTTAATCAGTTTTTGGACCCCAGTATGAGAACCTTTATGGAAGTGGATTATCTGTTATCTAACGTCCTCACTGCTTTACATGGAACAGACTCCATATTTCAGGCATGACTGTTATGTATTACACATCTAGAGGTCATCTGGATTGAAAGAAATAGCCTTAAGACAGCAAAGTGGTCTTGCTCTTGTGGGTAGGCCGAACAAGACTGCTTTGCAACAAAGTCAGTGATCTCAGCTTGTGCCATATTCCACGAAAATGATGCTTTACTGCATTATTCAGAATTGCTGAGCAGCGGAAGATCGATTTCAGTGGATGTCGACAGCCCCGGGTGTCCGTTTGCCCTATTTGATCTTTAAGATCACCAGGGAGTTCACAGTCTAGACGCTTCATTTTTTATCTCCAGCTCAGGACAGATTTTGGTAACTCCTTAGAAACTGACTTGAAACAGTGAGTGTTATCTTCACGTCTGATTAGAGAGATGGAATGTCCAAAATGTGTACACACGACTATAATGTATGCAAGCGGCGAGTGGTGTCATGATCTCCCTGTCTGTTCTTTAGCTGGGGTTAAAGGGTCATATCTCTCACTTTGAGTGGCATGTTAAAAGCGTGACACGTACTTTGTCTTGATTAATTCAAGCCATTATCTCATCAATCACCAGTTCAACAAAGGTCAGAGGCCTCCGGAGCCAAAGAGCTACTAGCTTTGGCAGCCGAGCCGCGATGAACCACCCACCTGAAAAACTGGCATCCACTTTCTCTCATAAAATGCCGACTACAGTATTTAGTGGAGCGATAATCACGGAATGCCTGCCCGCCGTAACGCAGCTGTTGCCAGGGCAGCGGGTCAACAAAACAAAGCAGCGTCCTGTCCACACCTTCCATCTGTGGTTAACTTCAGAGACAGAGATTTAGGGATCTGTCTACACGGTCGTCTGACGGCTCTGAAAGTTTCTGGGAAAGCCCAAATGGGAAATCAGGTAACCTTTTGCTTTTGGGAGGACAGAAAGGTGTGGTGAGCATTAATCAGGCTTCCCCTCATTCTTCATAACAGCACACAACCGTCCACGTCTACAGAGGACACCGAAGGGAACGCCGAGGTCAGCTGATGGACAGAGAAAACATTAGCTCTTCTATTGACTTCAGTCCAGACAAACAAGAGCAGCGTGAGGAGGGAGAGAAAAAGTGAGATGGACTAATTGCTGAGTATGAAGTGGGCAAAAAGGGAAGGTAGTGACAGGTTGTCACTTTACAATAATTATGGTTGTTCCTTAATCAGGTTTAATTTAAAATTAAGTGCCCCCCACCCACCCACCCACTGGCACATCCCTTGGGTCATGTATGCACGCACGCAGCGATGGACGGCTTTGTCCATGGCCATGGGCACAATTTGGTGAGCTGATCACCGTGCCCAGCCCTCTTGCTGGGTCACTGAGACTGCTCCAAGGCACCCACATGCTGTGGTGAATCTGCATCCATTCATTTTAAGAAATTTCAGCATAAATAAGTGGTTGAGATGTAAACAGATTCATTCAGAGTGGTTTGGTGTGAAATGCTCCATTCTAGAGAAACTTACTGAGTCAGAATTGTTTACAGTGGTGGTGATAGAAACCAGATGTCCACTTCTAAAAGCTCCCATGTAAAAACTCAGCCGACACATGTAGGTTTACTGGTGCTATTGGACAGTAAATGCATGACTGTGTTGTAGACATCACAACCCCCGGGGTCTTATTTATCAAAGCATGTGAAAACGTGTGCTATATCGGTACGTAAGAACAAAGTGATTAAAAATGGCACTTAATAAAACATATGTATGCACAGCTGTATGCAATAACTGCTAAATTATCAGGGGCCGTCATGGGCTGAAGGTTAAAGAACCAGCCCTGTGACTGGAAGGTTGCCGGTTCGATCCCCTGAGCTGACAGTATGTGACTGAAGTGCCCTTGAGCGAGGCATCTAATCCCCAACTGCTCCCTGGGTGCTGCGGATAGGGCTGCCCACTGCTCCGGGCGAGTGTGCTCACTGCCCCCTAGTGTATGTGTTCACTAGTGTGTAGGTGGTGTTTCTCTGCACGGATGGATTAAATGCTGAGGTGAAATTTCCCCATTGTGGGACTAATATGAGTCACTTAATCTTAATCCCTACAATGCTCATTTATGGCTAGCAAAGATGCACCCCTAAGTAGCTAGAAAGTTGACAACTTCCCTTTAAAAATCCCCAGTAGCTTATGAAACAACACTGAATTGAAGTGTTTCATATAAAAATTTAGTTCTTAAAAATACAACTTTCCATTTAACATGTTAAAATTAAATATGAACAACAATTAAACAGTAATTAAAAGTTCACATATAAGAATTCAGTTTGAACAAATAATTGTGTAAAGGTGCAGTGTGTAAGATTTAGGAGGATCTGTTAGCAGAAATGGAATATACTACACAAAACCATGTCTTCATTAGTGTATAATCACCTGTAACTATGAGTCATTGTGTTTTGGTTAGCTTAGAATGAGCCCGTCATATCTACATAGGGAGCGTCTCCTCTTCCAACAGATCCATGTTGCGCCACAGTGTTTCTACAGTAGCCCAGAACGGACAAACCAAATGCTGGCTTTAGAGGACGCCTTTCACATTTTTAGGTTGAAGTAGCAGATTGAATTTAGTGGTGCTGTAGCTCCATTTGGAAGATGTAGAAAAATGATGTAGAGAATCAGTGGTTGCTGCCGGTGCTGGCTGATTTTGTGTTGTGAGAAGTTTTAGAACCCAAATTTTGACACAAACATAGAATCAGTCTTATAATTTAGCACAAGAAAAAGCGAGGGAGGGTGAATCCTTGCCGTTAAAGAAGAGAAAACAAAAAGAAGCAAAATCAAATCTGGACAGGTGATGACAGAAAACCTGACGGCCGCTGTAGGTTCTACTACACGCTTGGAAAGGTAGTGGTGAGGGACAGAGATTCAGTTGGTTGCAATCTGCAACGTCACCACTAGATGCCACTATATCTTGCACACTGCACCTTTAATGCGAGAACACAGTTCCTACAAGCAATTGATTTCATACTTTTCATATATTACTTGTTTGCATTGAATTTCTAAAATATAAAATGTTGATTAAATGTTAAAACAACAGACACAGTGTACATCATCATAATCAATCTTTAGATGTTCCTTGATGTGTTAATTTACTTTTACTGTGAGCCTAAATCAGCACAGTCTGCCTGTTTGCTCCCTCTCTATAGACTGTAAACAGTGGAGCAGGACAGAAGCTGATTTGAAGTGGTTTTAAGATTTGAACTGATGAAAAATAATGCAGCTGTTCATCTAAAGTATTATTTTACTTTGACTGGTTTCAAACAGCCCTGCGATGGACTGGCAACCTGTCCAGGGTGTATCCTGCCTTCCGCCCAATGACAGCTGGGATAGGCTCCAGCACCCCACTGCAACCCAGAAGGATAAGCGGTTTAGATGTTGTGTGCGGTTTCAAACAAAGTGCTTATTTACTGCTCGCTACCACTATAAGAAATGTTATGTTGATTTGCGAAACATTTTATAGTATATAAGCACAATAGTTGCTGATCATTAGGCCAGTTATGCTGAATTAGCTGATAATTAATAGGAATTTGTGCTTCTCATCATGAGTTTAGCCTTTTATACCACTAGAGGGCTTCTGGTGAGGAGTAGTTTTAAATACATGCACATTGTCACACACAAAAAATGGTAACTTCTGTTCTATGCAGAAAAATCATTTCACATTAAATCAACCTGAATGACTTTGTTTACATCTGAGTGGTCAAATTATTCATAAATTCAAAAAAGACGGTGGAATTCCTTTTTAAACATTGTTTTTATTTGCTGTGCTTTTTGGTCATCTAGTTGAGATGTTGTCAGAGTTTGGATGCACCTCCACAGCACAGAGCTAATCCCAAAATGACTGTACAGTCAACTGGAGATGCCTGGAGGACAGGAATAACAATGGGAATATGCTCACTCAAAGACATGTTCCCAACATGTTCCAACCCCAGAGATATTTGTGATGACCTAACAGGGAAAAAAATGAAAAGATTCCTGAGAGTTCCTTAGGCTTCACACAACAACAATCGGCATCATTTAGTGAATTAGGTGTCTCAGTATGGACCTTCAAGCTTCAGAATGGATGAGATCTTCCAGATAGGCTGCCATTTAGCCGCTGTACTCCACCACTCCAGACACACTCTTTAAATACAAAGGGTTCCTTGAGTGGAGAACCACTTTTGGTTCCCTAAAGAACCAAAAGTAACACTTTGCTTGAACCCTGCTACACAGGGCTGCCGGAACCACGGAGATGAACAGGCATTTGACCCACCACTTGGGTGAAGATCACTTACATCATAAAGAAATCAAACTACATGGAGCGCTGACCAATAGACACAAAGGCCCAATGAAGAAAAGGACCATATTACATTGAAACAACATTAAACTAAGATAATACATGGTTATCATAACTTATTAATGGAGAAGATTCTCACATTTGTGGGTTTCTTCGGTCGCTTGTGTAGCCATCTTGCTGGTTTTTCTTTTTTACTCATAACATTCTGTTTGGAGTGTGTCTCTGAAAAAACACTATTTGGAGGGCCATGTAGCCCTAACACTTTGCCATACCCCTCTATCTCAATAACAATCAGGTCACCCTAGACATGAGCGTGCAAAACAGAGGGGTAGGGCTAAGTGGTAGGGGCAGGGGGAAATGGGCCAAAGTGCTCTTCAAACTGTGTTTGGAGAGCAGGTATCAAAGCTGAGGATCAGGGAAGTATTTGTCTGAAGGAGAAACACGAAAAGTTCCCAAACCTGACCCTTTAATGATACAAAGAACCCTTTGCATGATTGTTCATGGTTTTATATAGAAGAACCCTTGATGAACCATCATTTTTAAGTGTGTGGTGTTTTTGAGAGGGGCATTAAAAGGCCCAGAATAGCACTTCGATTGGCAGCTGCACCTTGAAAGCATCACGATATACCACAATTCAAGACCCATTTTCCACATCAAGCTAATTGTGCTTGTAAGTGATGTCATAGAAGTGGGGTTTCCTACCCCCCCCCCACCCGAGTCAAAAACAGCAGTTCTGTCAGAAACACTTCAGACGTTCTGCTAGAAGATATGAAAAATGCTTGTAATGTTTTTCCTAATTCTGAAGTCTAAAATTGCCTCAAATACCAAGAATGGCATGTTTTGTTTTGGACTAATGTGTCACTCACATCACTGCAGCAGCCAGGGCTTTGGTCACCCTGATTGTCCTGAAGGTGATGTAATGTATTTACTGTGATCTCCAGCTCATTTGGAAGCAGATGCTTAATTGTCAGTTAAGGCACTCTTCACTGGGCATGAAGACAGGAGTTCCTGTAAACAGTGTTTATTAACAAAATGGCTAACAGCTACCAAACCACTTCCATCCTCTTCAGAAGTCACGTGTTTCTTCAGCTTCTTGCAGCGCTTTTGTATTTCCCCTTTTAGTAAAGGCACATATCATGGAAAATCAACTTATCCTCATTTTATATTAAATAAGAGTATGTAAACACTATCAGGGTAAACCCATTTTTGCTTGGGCAATAAATGTGTTTTTACCACACTTATTTGTTATTATTCTTATTTTTTTAAATCATTAGAATATCATTAGAATAAGTGCAAATCAACATAAACACAGTAACAATAATTTCTTATTCGGTTTTATGATTTGTGTGAAATCACTCTTTATAGTACACTATATAGGCAAAAGAATTGGGACACCTACACATTAGACCTAGAGGAGCTTTCATGACATCCCATTCTAAATCCATAGGCATTAAGATGGAGTTTGTCCCCCTTTGCAGCTACAACAGTTTCCTCTCTTCTGGGAAGCTTTCTACAAGATTTTGGTTGGAGTGTGTCTGTGGGAATTACTGCCCATTCATCCAGAAGTGCATTTGTGAAGTCAGACACTGATGTTGGACGAGAGGGCCTGGCTTGCAACCTCCATTCTAGTTCATCCAAAAGGTGTTTGATGGGGTTGAGGTCAGGGCTCTGTGCAGACCAGTCAAGTTCTGCCACACCAAACTCACTCAGCCAAGCCTTTATGGACCTTGCTTTGTGCACTGGGGCCCACAGTCACGATGGAAAAGAAAAGGGTCTTCCCCAAACTGTTCCCACAAAATTGGAAATATACAATTGTCCAAAATGTCTTGTTCTGCTGAAGCATTAAGATTTCCCTTTACTGGAACTTAGGGGCCTAGACCAACCCTGAAACACAACCCCATATCATTATCCCTCCTCCACCAAACTTTACAGTTACAATGCAGTCAGGCAGGTAACGTTCACCTGGCATTTGCCAAACCCAGACTCGTCCATCAGACTGCCAGATAGAGAAGTGAGTGTG